TACGGCTGCACCATTCCTATGTTACGCCCTTCCCCTCTCTGTTAGACTTTCAGTCAATCTCCACTCCTTCAAAAAATCTTTGAAAATGTACTTCTTTAGGTAAGAATATCAATTAAACTGTGAACAGCTTTCCCTCCCCTCACCCTGATTCCTCTCCTGCAACTGTCATCAAAACAAAACACTAAGTCCTCAATGAATATTATCCTAGCAGCCTACTTTTCTACCCTACCCTTACCTTTTGTGTCACTATACCTCACTCCCTTTAGCAGAGGCAGCTCTAGACTTTATGAGGATATAGGGGAAACTCAAACATGAGGCCCCACTAACACAAAAGTGAAAAAAATAGAGTTGCAATACATGCACACTGTCACATATACACATTGATGCACAGTTTACCTGTGTATGTGCCCGAGAGTGTGTCTGACAGAGAGTATCCTTGTGTGTGTGTGTGAATGTATGTCTCTGTGAGTTTGTGTTTTTGTCTGTAACCATATGTGTATGTGTATGGGGTATTTGCTTGAAGTGTGTATGGGGGTCTGCCTGTAGTCTTTGTGCATTGCGTTTATGGCAAAGCTATGTTTCCTGACTGTGTGTGTATGATGAATGTCTTCAGCTGGTGACTGTGACAAGGTGAGTAAAGGGGTACCAGTGGCAGGGAGAGTGTGACAGAGCAAAGGGGGTAAATGGACAGGGTGGGGGGGTTGTGAGAGAGAAGGAGGGAGAGGGAGTATGACATGGTTTGATGAGGGAGTGTGACAGGGAGAGTGGAGGTAAGTGTGTCAGGGCAATTGTGGCATGGTAGGAGGGATGCGTGTGACAGGATTAAGGGGGATTAATGTGACAGGGTGAGTGTGGCAGAGTGAGGGCAGATGAGTTTGGAGGGGGTGAGATTAACAGGATTAGGAGCAGTTAATGTGGTGTGGTGCATGAAGAGGCTGACAGTGTGGGGGGGTGACAATGTGTGGGGGGATGCTAACAGTATGTCTGGGGAGGCTGTGTGTGAGGGCGGCGATACTGTGTGGGGGCTGATGGTGTGAGGGAGGGTGATGGTGGGAGGGAGAGAGGGGTGTGAGGGTGAGAAGGAGGGAGGGGGTGATCGTGAGAGGGAGGAAGGGGTGATGGTGAGAGGAGCAGAGTTGAGGTAATGAGAGGGAGTGATGGGAGGTGATGAGAGGTGAGAGGGGAGAGGGGTGGATAAGAGGGAGGGGGCGGATGTGGAGAGGGAGGGGTGATCTGAGGGGAGAGGGGCTGGTGGTGTGAGGGGGTGATGGTGAAAGGGAGAGGGGGTGATGAGAGGTGAGGGGTGATGGTGAGGGAGAGGGGGTGATGGTGAGAGGAGAGGGGGGTGATAGTGAGAGGGGAGGGTGATGGCAGGGTGAGGGAGCATGTGGGTACGGTGATAGGGATAGGGTGGATGGTGAGAGGAGGTGATGGGTGTGGAGGGTGGATGCGAGGAGAGGGGTGATGGTGAGAGGGGGTGATGAGAGGAGGGAGGGGGTGATGGTGATAGGAGAGGGGCTGGCTGTGGTGAGAGGGAGAAAGGATGGCGGAAAAGGGGGTGATGGTGAGACGGGAGGGGGGATGGAGGGAGTGATGGGTGAGAGGGAGGGGGCTGATGGTGAGGAGAGGGGTGGGGCGGGATGGTGTGAGGGGAAGGGGTGATGGTGAGAGGGGAGGGGGGTGGGATGCATGAAAAGGGGGGTGGTGTGAGGGGGAGTGATGGTGAGAGGGAGGGGGTGATGGTGAGTAGGGGAGGGGGTGATGGTGAGATGGAAAGGGGGTGATGGTGAGAGGTAGAGGGGTGATGAGAGGGAGAAGGGTGTGATGTGAGGGAGAGGGGGGTGATGAGTGGCACTATAGTGGTCCTTTAATCACATTTGAAAAAGCTTAAAAAAGTATATTTGCTGTTTTGCATAAAAATCCAGTTAAAAGTATACTAATCACTTTAAAGGTTCATATTGACACTCTTTTGGATATACTTAGCACTTTAAGTTGCATATACATGCACGCGCACCATAATAAGTGCTTTGTAATGACATGCTCCACTGGATACTTCATAAGCATACTTTTGCACTTCTGTCTGTATGCCGATGTACCTGTTCTTGTTATATTGTAAGCGCTACACTACAACCCCACTGTTTTGCAAGAAATCACAATGTTACACTCACAATGTTTTGAAGACCTAATTTATAAATCGGTTGTATGATACTGCCTCTGGTGGACAACTAAAAGCATTACATATATATACCATTAGATAATAATTAATTTCCTGAACCACCCAGACCAATCACATCATTAGGCGCTACCTTGTTCCAGCCCCAAAGAGAAGGTCATAAATAACGGAATTCAACACATAAAAGAGGACACACACAGGACAGCATATCACACATGACATCACAGTAGTGCACTAGTATCAATGACACTCACTAACGCTCGTGGACACCAGAGAGAATACCAGCCACCATCCCTGATGGCCATCTTAGAGTCTCCTGGGGGGTTGTGATTGTTCCACTGCTATCCACTGTTCCACTGCTATCAACCTCTATATACACGTGTTGATAGCAGTGGAACAATCACAATTTAGATTTACAATTTAATATTTCTTATATATATATATATATAGTGTATATAGAGGTTGATAGCAGTGGAACAATCACAATTTAGATTTACAATTCTATATTTCTCATATATATATATATAGTGTATATAGAGGTTGATAGCAGTGGAACAATCACAATTTAGATTAACAATTCTATATTTCTCATATATATATATATATGTTATGTTATGGATACTTACTAAAATCTCGTGTAATCTGATACTTATTGTATTTTAAATATAAGGGCATGGTGATCTGACCTCAATATTTAACCTAGATCAAATAATAGTACTGTGATACTATGGTCTGTTTTGTCTTGTAGGAAGGTCTTCGTTCTTTGGCTTTGCAATATTATTTTAGTTTCTTATTTTATGCATTTCAATGCTTGTGCATAATATACAAGGGAGACACATCTTATTTACTATTGCCTCTGACAATGTAACTTCATTAATATATTGCTTTACAACATTAACAATACTAGATCAAAATTAAATTGTGATTTGATTGTATGATTATATGAAATTTTATGCGTATTAATATCTACATAAGGTCAACAAATTAGATAATTATTAAAAGAAATGTGTTGGTTTTTAAATCCATTAAGTATTGCACATTAGTCAGGTTTTGTATTACAAATCATTAATCCCATAATATCTCACATAATATAGTGTTGGAAATCTTTTAAATTAAGTCACGGTATATTGTTTAGACAATTACGTTAAATAAACGACAATTGCAAACCAAAATCTGTAAGTAAATTTTTTTAAATGATAAAGGATGAGATTGGACAACAGGTTTTTAATCATGCAAACAGTGTTTCAAATGATTTCCTATAACTGACATTGTGTAAACGATAAAACTGAAATGTAAAGATAATCATGGCAATGCAAAAGTAAACAAATAGAATTAGCAAACTTAATCAAATAAAACACAATATATAAAAAAATTAAAACCTCAATATATTAATAAGAAAAAAATTATTATAATGATATTGCTGTAAAAAAGAAATGTTACCTTACAAAATTTGTATACTATTATATCCTCAAAAAACCAAACAATTACATTAAAAAAAGTACATGATAAAATGTATATATGTTAAAGCAGATACAATTCAATTGGTATTGGTAGAAAATGGTATTGCTCTAGTTTATCGCTGAGTATATCTCAGCTACTCTGAAAGCATTTTCACTAAATATCAAATGTGTCATCTTCCTCATATAGAATAAACTATTCTAGGATGTATACATGTCTCACTTTTAAAATAGTAAGCTATTCTCCAAGACATTGGATTGACCTCTTTTCTGAAGTCATTCCAAAAAGAATCCGCATAGGCTCCAGGACTATACAGAAACTCTATTTATTTAGTTCCAATTTTAAAACAAAAAACAACAACATTATAATATAATATATTATAATATACTTCTCCAATATAGTTTTTATTGGGTTTTTGTTTCATTGTTTACAAAAACTGAACAGTGGGTAATACGTAGTATCACAAGAATACAAAAAGTTGTGGATACAAGGTAACAATAGGTATAACATATAGCATGGTAACAAGTAATCAAGGAACATGTACAAGGGTTCCCATACGGCTCCTAGTTTCATGGGGGAGTCTACACAGTTGCGGTGGTGCTTTATGTGCTCGTTCATTGAGCGTCCTATACAACATTTATGTGCTTATCGTGGGTTTCTATTCTGAGGATTGTCACGGGTTGGGGGTGTCTGTCGGTTCGTCACACAGCTCTTATTGTTTGTTGTCGTATAACGCTACCCAGGGGGCCCAGGTCGTTTTTGCGTCCGGAGCGGTCATACGTTCGTACGTGTAGTATTGCTGTATTTTATCCCATAATGTGGCTTTGGTAGGACAGAGTGTGGATTTCCAGTTGCAGGCTATCAAATTACGAGCTGCCAGGATGGTGATTGCACTCAGTTGTTTGTGTGTATATTTAAATGATGGGGGGAAACGCATAAGTAGGAATAGTTCGGGGTGGTTTCCTCTGTGTGGGACATTAAGGGCACTTAGAGTGTTTTGTACTTCTACCCAGAGGGGTTGTATGTTGGGACATGACCACCATATGTGCGTATGTGTGCCTGTCTCCGCCGAGCATCTCCAGCAGAGAGGAGACGTATTGGGGTAAATTTTATGGAGAGTGTAGGGAGTTAAGTGCCATCTGTACAGTAATTTCCTATGTGCTTCTATATGGGTGTAGCACTTAGTCCATTTAGATATGGCGTTCAATGCATGAATCCATTCGTCATCCGTGAGTTGGATAGTGCATTCTGTTTCCCACATTGCTTTGCAATGTGGTGCTGCGTTGGGCAAGGTACTGTCCCATGTCCTATAACAGAGGGAAATACTGTTCTTTTTCATAGGGCCTTTCCAGCATCTTTCTATTACTGCCTTTGATGGAAGGGGGCTCTGTTCAGGGGATTGTTGTTGCTTGTTTACATGTGTGTTGATGATCCCTTTTAGTTGTAAGTATGTGAAAATAGCGTTTGTTGGCAATTCCCATTTCGTTTGTATGTCTGTGAAGGGTAATATTTCTTGCGATTGCATTATCTGGTGAATATGTCTAATGCCTGCATGTGCCCAAGTCTGTAGACGCATGTCTGGTGATATGGCTCTTAAGGCGGTTAGAGGTGCGTTGGGGTGGAATTTTTCTTTGGCCCCTACTGTATCTAGAAATGTAGACCAAATGTGGACGGTCAGTGTTGTGGTGGGGTATAGGTTTGGTTTGACTGGTCTATGTTTTTTCGGTGTCCATAGGTAGTCGAGCGTTGCGTTTTTGTCCAATTGGGCTTTTTCCATGTCTACCCATTGGATGATACCTCGATTTAAGTGCAACAGTATGCCCGATGCCAGCATCGTGGCTTTATAATACTGGTTTAGGTTGGGTAACCCTACTCCTCCTTTTGTAGGATGTTTGTAGAGTATGGTGCAGGATATGCGCGGTTTCTTGTTCCCCCATATGAATGAGCTGCAGATGTTTTGTAGGGAGTTGAGGAGTGTTTGTGGGGCTTGGATGGGAAGCATTCTAAATATGTAGAGAAGTTTGGGCAGTAACATCATCTTGTATGCGTTAATTTTTCCTAGCCAGGAGATATGTGTCTGAGACCATTTTTGTAGGTCTCTCTTGCATTGTTGGGGAAGCGTGAGGTAATTTAGTTTCAGGATTTCTTCTATTGTTGGTGCTATTTTTACGCCTAGGTATGTTAGTGATGTCTTTCTCCAGTCAAAAGGGTAGTTATCTTTCAGTATTGTTTTGGTGGCTAGTGTGAGTCCGACGGGAAGGGCCTGGGTTTTATCTTGATTCAGGCGGTAATGGGATATGTCGCCGAATGTTTTCAGGGTTTCCATGAGGGGAGGCAAAGACCGCTGGGGGTCCCCTAGCGTTATCAGGATATCGTCGGCGAATAGCGCCAATTTATATTCCTGTTCTTGAATTGTGATTCCTTTTATGCAAGGGTCTGTGCGTATTGTTTGGGCCAATGGTTCTAGCGATAGGATGTATAGGAGGGGGGACAGGGGGCAGCCCTGGCGTGTTCCGTTAGTGATCGTGAATTGGTTAGATAGGAAGCCACCGTGTGCTACTTTAGCTGCTGGTGATGCGTAGAGTGCCATGATTCCTTTGATGAATTCAGCAGGGAATCCATATTTGGAGAGCACTTGTCGCATGTATGTCCAGTTGAGTCGGTCGAAGGCCTTCTCCGCATCTAGTGCTAGGAGGAGGCCCCCGACCGACCCCCTACCCATTGAGGTTAATATGTTGAGGGTTTTCCGAGTGTTGTCCGATCCCTGTCTCCCCCCCACAAACCCCGATTGATCATTGTGTATCAGTTGTGCAATTATCTGGGCCAGTCTGTTGCTCAATAACTTTGCATATAGCTTGGCGTCACTGTTTAGCAGAGATATTGGCCTAAAGTTTTTGCAGATATTCGGGGGTTTCCCTGGCTTGGGTAGTGTGGAGATGTGGGCTAGCAGCATTTCTGAGGGTAGCGTTCCCGTGTCATTACAGTGTTGGTATACGTTTAAGAGGTGTGGTGTAATGTGTTGGGAGAATATTTTATAATATCTGTTCGGAAGACCATCTGGTCCTGGTGCTTTGTTAACCGGTAGGTCTGTTATGGCTTTAGCTAGTTCTTCGGCGGATATCGGTTGTTTGAGTTTGTGGATGTCGTCTTGTGTAAGTGATGGTAAAGTAATGTTTGCCAGAAAGGCGTCAATGGTAGTCACGGAGGGTATTTGCACTGTTTCGTCCTCTTTTAGATTATACAGTTTGTGGTAATAGTTGGCAAATTAGTTTACAATTTGTTTCGGATCTAGAATTTTTAAACCATTGTTGTCAATAAGGGAGGCAATCCTGGATGCGACCGATTTTTGTTTGAGTTGTGCAGCCAGTTTTGCTCCGGCTTTGTTACCATAAGTAAAGTATTTGTGTTTGGATTTTTGTAATAAGTAAGTGGTTTTGGCCAGTTCGTAGTCTCTTAGTTGTGACTGGGCTTTTAGTAAGGCTGCTTGTGTAGCGGGTGTTTGAGATTGTTTATTTTTATGTGTAAGTGCAGTTATCACTTTTATTAATTGTACATATTGGGCTTGGCGTGTTTTTTTTGCTTGGCTTGCGTGTTTAATGAAGCTGCCCCTTATCACAGCCTTATGGGCTAGCCATAAGTATTCTGGCGTAGTACCCGATCCTGTGTTTTCAGTAAAGTAGTTTTGTAGATCTGTGGTAATCTGTGAGATTATTACTGGGTCGTTAAGCAGAGATTCATTGAGTCTCCAGGTTGATCTGCCGGTAGACGGGAATCGCTCAGTTAGAGTTATGGTGATGGGGGCATGGTCCGACCAGGAGATAACACCAATATCTGTGTTTATTAGTCTTGTTAGAGATGTGGCTTTGATGAGGAATCTATCGATTCTAGAATAGCTGTTGTGTGCAGCTGTATAGCAGGTATAATCTATGTCTGCCGGGTGTGATATTCTCCATGGGTCTATAAAGTTGTGTGTCGTTAGTGTGTGACATATTTGGGATGTTTGTTTGCGGCGTTGTGTTAGTGTTTTGGAGGTTACCCTTTTGGAGGAGGATGAGTCCATATTTGCATCCAGGAGAAAGTTAGTGTCGCCTCCAAGAATTGCCTCCCCAAAGCTGTACCTTGACAAGAGACAAAACATATCATCTATGAATACAGGTTGACTTTCGTTTGGGCTATATACATTCATCAAAGTATACGGTTGGTTGTTGAGACGGCATTGTAATATCAGATATCTGCCCTTTTTATCACTGATTTTGCGAATAAGTTCAAAGACAACTGATCTATGAATTAGGATCGATACTCCTCCTTTTTTATGGTAACAAGTGTGGTAATCTACAGGGAACCATGGGGAGGTAAATCTGGGCATAGATCCCCATTTAAAATGGGTTTCTTGAAAAAAGGCCACTTGTGCCCCATGTCTTTTGGCCTCTTGGAGGGCTAGTCTGCGTTTGTTGGGTGTATTGAGACCCTTGACGTTAAGAGAGAAAAATTTAAGTGGCATATTGCTTGGTTTTATGGTGGTATACGGGTAGACACTTATGTACCTTCTCCAGTAATGGAGTTTTTTTTGGCGTTAGGGTTTGTTACCGGGACTATGAGAGGGGACTTTTTTTTAGGTACAGGGATAGGGTTGGGGTTAAACTATGTACACTTGCCTGTTAGCCTCGAGGGCCTGATGCAACAGTGTGCAGACGGGTATTTAATGGCTCACTAGTGGGCCGTCGTTGGGGGTCGGTGGAAGTTTGGTAGGAACTAAATTGGTATTCCAAAGTGGAATATGTAATTAGATTTGCAGTCTTAACACTTGAATTCTAAACAATATCAATTATAACAATCGAAGAATGAGCAGTGTGGATTTTCCGCCAGCAGTGGGCCTATGTGAGGTGGCCACTTGTGCGGTATCAATAAAATTTTTTATTTTTTTTATTTTATTTTTTTTAAATTGCATAGTGTAAATCAGTCATGTAGTCAGACAACATCATTAGTACTAGCTGCTAGCAATACAACACTTTTAAGTGCAATAAGTTACGTGTCCAGGAGCGTGGTGGAGTGATGGTCACGGTTGGTGGTTTCTGCGGCCTTGTGGGGTATTGGTGATCCATGGAAGTTGTTGCCAGTCTCTCGCCATTTTTCGTGGCGGTGGTGTGTCGAACTTTTGTTTTCCATTCTGTGGAGCAGGGATGGGGATGTTCCAGTCTTCCAGAATCTGCATTCCGTCTTCAGGCGTGAGGATTGTGCGGTCTGCTCCATTGCGTTTGACGAGTAGTTTAGTAGGGAAGCCCCATTTGTATAGGATATTGGCGTTTCTGAGGGCTGTTGTAATCGGTGTAAAGGAGCGTCGTTTGGTCATCGTGGCTGCTGATAGGTCAATAAATAGTTTGATATCTGTGTATTCTTCTGGTAGAGATGGATTGAGTCTTGACGTTTGCATTATTTGGTCTTTGACCGTAAAATAGTGGAGTCTGGTTATGACGTCCCTCGGTATAGTAGTGGGCAGGTGCCGTGGCTTGGGCAGCCTATGGGTCCTGTCCAGGCGGAGGTCTGCCTCTGTCATGGATGGGATTAGAGATTTGAACAATTTTTGTACATAGTGTGTAAGGTCCTGTGGGTTGACGTTCTCAGGTATACCACGGATCCTTATGTTATTTCGTCTGTCCCTATCTTCATTATCTGCTATTTTTCCTTCCAGATATTTAACTTTGTTTTCCAGTGCTGTGTGTGCATCTGCTAGCTCATTGTGACCAGTTAGGATACCCTCCGTTTTTTCTTCTAGATGGGCTGTTCTGTCCCCTATTGCCTGTATGTCAGCTTTAATGTCTGCAGCTATGCGCTGGAGATCTGAAAATAGGGCTGATTTTAATTTATCCAGCATGGTACTCACTGAGGCATTCGTGGTAGGGATGGAGGCTTCACTGCTTTGGTAGTTCTGGGAGTCTTCTCCTTCTGCCTCGTGTGCGGGTGAGCCATGCGGTCCGACGCCATCTTGGTCTCCTGAGTGCTCCGGCTGTTGCGAGCTCAGATGTGAGTCAATCGTTTTTTGTTTTAATTTTTTTGATGACTTGGTCGCCATTATGCTCGGGGAGAGGTTGGTGGTGAGATGGGCTGAGTTTGGTGGCAATTTCGCTGCGATACACGCTGTGGGGCCCACTATCCCGGCGGAGCTCTCCTTCTATGCGACTGCTTCCATGCGGTCCGTGGCCACGCCCCCCTTTTTCCACATTTTTTAACCTTTTTATCTGTGTTTGCCACTCAGTGTCCTGAAAGCATAACTTTGCATATGTTGCTCAAGATGCCATCAAAGTTCAGAACAGACTAAATTGCTCTATCCTTGTGAGTGTTTCTTTTCCATATTTTTACATTTAATATTCAAACATACTGTCCTATGAGTGTGTATTTTCCCTTTTTTTGAGATCTATATGTGAATGCCGATTCAAGCTTAAAGGTATATTCCAAAGTGGGAAAGCTAAGTGTGACGGTAGTAATCTGTATCACCGTCAAGCATTCCCTTCTTCCCATAAAAGAAAATCACCAAGTAATCCACAGGAATAAATATCGCTGGTATCGCCAAATAATCCACACATGAGCCAAAGCTTAATGCTGGAACAAGACTGATTTTAATGACCACACACTGGCTTTTATGCAAGTACCCATGCAAGGGGACATCCCACAGGGTGGGACACAGTACAACCAATCATTTACAGAAAAACCGTAAAACACACCCAGCCCCAACATATAATCCCTCCCCTCTGCCTGTGATATAATTACTGAACACAATGGGTTAATGTAATTTATCACAGGCAGGAAAAATACACTTTTTATACTGTCATGCCAAAAGCATGAGTTGGTGTTTGATGTGTGTTGAGATATGTTGAAAGTTGTTTTTTTGTAAACCTTGGGATGACGTTTATTGTGGTCTTTGATCTGGCCCCAGGCTTAGACCATAAAACATCTAGATAGCCATCACCAGAGCTGGACACAAGGAATTGCATAGAGTGGGCAATAAACTGCCAGACCAAGCCCCTCTGATCCCCCCAGGGGTCTGCCCACTGAGAAACAACTAAGTTTGATATATAATGAGGGTGCCGGACTATCCAGGAGAGTTATTCATTTTTCTTTTGTCAGCAACTTCTAGGAGACCTATACCATCTAAGACTCCCACAAGAATTCTATATGGGGTAACTACATGTAAGGAATTTCTTGTGTTTTCTCCTATTTTATTTTATGTACTGTTTTGCAATTTGTTATCTGTATGTCATTTATTTCTGTATTTTGTACTCAGCACTGTGAATTCTTTTTGTCAGATTAAATGTTTACTTAATCAGCTTGTGTCTCTGTTCTCTATGAGCTTCACTCTCCAGAGGAAAGCTCAGGTAAACACGTTACCAAAAAGGGTTAACTATATATGTTTTATCAGTAAAAGTAGAACTGTGATACTATAATTCTCCTGTGTGTGGGGTAACCTAAGACGCCCGGGTTTAAAAGTCTTGGTGGTGGCAGTAAAGTGTGTACTAAGGGGTTAGTGTAGAAGGGATTGCAGGGGTTAATTGAGTGGTTGCTGGGACTAGCAACAGGTAACCAGGGGTCTGGTGTCATTAACCCTGTCACTTCCACACTCTCCCCACTGTCTCGGCTGGGCCTTTAGCCCACGCACGTGACAAACTGGCGGCAGCTGGTGGGATATATTTAGAGATTTTTAGTGCTTGCTAGATTTTACCTGTAAAGGGGGTCTTACCACTAAAAGAAATTGCATACTTGTTTTTGTGTAATTTCCAAAGACCAAGCTCAGTGCTGATTTAAAATACATACAAAGTGCAAAACAGTTCTCCCCTCCCATCTTTTGTTTTACTTTCTCTATCCTATTGTGAATATGGAGGCCTATGGCAAACAATCGAAAGAGGCTTTGGAATTGTTGTGCCAAGAAAAGGATTTACCAACTTTTGGCAAAAATAAAGCACAACTTATTGCTGACCTTGTGGAGGCTGACAGCCATGTTTTCCAGCCAGAGACGGACACTGAAAGGGTTACTGAGCTACCTACTACTGCAGGAGTGTTGCTCACTGGAATGCCTGGTGGTTGTACCCCTCAAACCATTAAGGACATTTGTTCAACTGATTTATTTCAGCAACTGATGGCTTCAAATCCTCAGGAGGCCCTGCACGTGATGATCCAACAGCAGGCTGCAGAAAGGGAATCTGCAGAGAGGTTGGCCGAAAGGGAGGCACAAAGAAGACATGAGCTGGAACTTGCTAAACTGCAATTTACCCTTCAGTCCTCAGTGAACAGCAATGCATCAGAGTCCAGCACACGTAGGCTCTGTAAGGATGATTTTCCTTCCCTCGAAGAAGGGACAGATATGAATGTATTTTTAAAAGGTTTTGAGAAAGTATGCAGGCAGCATCAATTACCCTCAGACCAGTGGGGCAGATATTTAACTCCACAATTGAAAGGGAAAGCCTTGGATGTGTTTGAGTCCCTTCCCCCAGAGACTGATAACAACTATGAGGCAATCAAATCTGCATTGCAAAAAACTTTTAACCTTACTTCTGAGTCTTACAGGAAAAAGTTTAGGAGTATGCAGCAATGCCCATCATCCAGCTGCATTCTATATGTTGCACAATTAGAAACCACGTTCCGGCAATGGGTAACAAGAGTACAAGCTACTACCTATGAAGCCCTTAATGACTTAATGGTCCTGGAGCAGTTCTTGCAGACCCGGAGCCCTAATGTACGAGAGTGGATTTTGGAAAGAAAGCCAAAACATGCTAGGGCTGCTGCAGAACTGGCAGATGACTATGCCGACATCCATGCACCCACATCCAGGCGTGGACTTGTGTCAGCTGCTACTTCGACCTGGAGAGAAGCTACAGTTCAATCACCACCTGTAAGATCTGCAGTGAGAACTTCACCGCCGACTGCCAGCGTAGCCGGGGATATGTCCAGTGAGTCAGATGCCCGCCGTTGTTTTCGATGCAACCAGATTGGTCATCTGAGCAGGACTTGCCCCACTAGGAATATACCCTCACCAGCCCGTGGAGGGGCACCATCAGTATTGCTTGTGGGTTGGTCGTCCGTGGGGAAACGAGAGGATAACCTGCAGAGTGTAATTGTGGGTGACCGAGTGACCATGGGACTGAGAGATTCTGGAGCTTCATTCACCCTGGTGCGCCCTGAAGTGGTGAATATGGAGGACATAATCCCTGGAAGAACCATGTCCATCAAAGGAATTGGGGGTGTGCACCCCGCTGTGCCCCTGGCATGTGTGTGCCTTGATTGGGGTGCGGGCAAAGGTTTGCGGGAAGTGGGGGTTTCGGAGGATATCCCTGTTAATGTTCTGTTGGGGAATTATTTGGGCAGGATGCTCTGTCACTATGCTCCAGAGGATACTGTTTGTGAGCCAGAAGGACTGACTGCTCCACCTAAGGTATTGTGTGAAACTTTGGGAGACATTGTGAACTGTGATTGCTGGGAGGGAGAGCAGGGTGTGGATAAATATCTACCTGTAACTGAACCAGTGATGTCTACCAAATGTGAGATAGGGGTGAGTAGTGATGTGCCTGTATCAAAATATTGTGAGGCTGGGATGTCAGAGAGTAAGGGGGAGGAGGAAGGTGAGAGCCAGGGATGTGTACCACTAGTCGCAGTGGTAACAAGTCAGCAGTGGGTCAGGGCGGCAGCAGGAGAGTCTCAGGGGCTATGTGAGATTGTGAGAGGATGGCCTGCCCTGGAGAAGAAATTATGTGAGTGTGTGCAAAATTCTGTATCTGATCAAGGGGGGTCAAATGTGTCCAAATGTATGGGAAAAGCCTTCCAGCGAGAGGGGCCTGAAGGAATATATGTGCCAATATGTGCCTGAAGCAGATGTATGTGATGCACTGGGTGAAAATGTGAAGGTACAGCAAGGCTATGAGGGAGGGCAGAAGGTGTGTGAGCTTTACTCTGTGCCTGACTTAGCCAGTTTCCAAAGTTCTGTATGTGTGATGACCTGGAGTGAAAGTGAGGGGCACGGACAGACTCAGCCTGTGGGTCCAAGAAGGATGGCTGCAGGGAAACATACTGTTGGAGGAACCAGGAACCTTGTCAGTTTATCACAACTCACGCATACACCTAAGCAACTTTCTGATTGTGAACCAAAGGTTCAGAGTCTGATAGTGCAACAAGCCCAGCAGACAGACCGCAAAATGAAAGAGATGATGGGTGTTGATACAGCACATCTATCCTGGGAGTGTTCTCTGTCTGCTTTTTTGTGTGCTCACCGGGGAGTGCTGCAGAAATCCATTGGTTTATTCCCTTTACAGCTACTACATGAGCGCAGTGGGTGTGGTTTAAGGGATGTTACCAGAGATCGATGGGAAATTGAAACAGGCAAATCAGGCACCTCACTGCTTAATTACATGTGGACGTCGAGAACATTGAGGGGCCCTAAAGTGAGCCTATATCCTACCACAACTGCAACGATCAAAGTGTGGGATGACTTTATGTCCTCCCTTGGCTGGAAGAAACACTTCCACCTTGAAGCTCCCCTAAATGCACTCCACGCAGTGAACCCCACGATCCCCCTAGCCAGATGGTCACGCCTAGGTATATCCCAAATCTAACAACTGTGCAGAGAACAAACAATCATGAGTTTCCCGGCTATAAGGGATAAATGGGGGGTACCAGAGAGGGATATCTTCCCTTACTTACAACTAAAAAATGTGATAAACACACTTGTCAAAAACACGCCATTCACCATGCCTACAACCACATTAGCAGCAAGACTTATACCCCACAGATGCTGGGCAGCCCCGATGAAACCCAAAGCCCTCTGCTATAAAGCATGGCTAGAATTAACACCTAAAAAAACGTTAGCATGTAAACAGAACTGAGATACCGAGAGGGGGAAGGAATTGACAGATGAAGAATTGATGCTAGCCCTAAATGGGATTAAAAAATAGTGCTACTCCCATATTGAAGCACATCGAAAACTACTCTATAGGTGGTATATGACTCCCAATAGATTACACAGAATCTATCCGGGCGTATCATCCAAGTGAAGAGGGATCTACACCACACATATGGTGGCAATGCAGCGGTATACAACCTCTCTGGGGGGATGTTAAGAATTTATTAAGGGACCTGGGAGTTAGGGATTTCCCCATGAACATAACGACCTGCTTACTCCTGCTATTCCCCAGAACAACACAGCAGAACCACAAAAATTCATTTTGATAGTTCTAATGGCTGCTAGAAATCTAATAACACTAAATTGGAAAAAGCATAGTTGCCCAACTATACAACAATTGACAGACAAAATACAACAGTTTTATATATACGAGAAAATGTCCACCGATAGTGCTAAGGCCACGGAAAATTTTAGAGACATTTGGAAGGTTTGGGAGACATGGTATAGGGAGAAGACACACCCTGGTCGGTGAGAGGAGTGGAGAGGGGCCAAAGGGGACCTAAACAGCCCATGGAAACATGGACAGGGATTTGTATAGACATGGATGGAACGGAGTATACAGAAATTACCGGATCCGACATAACTTGGTTTGCCTGCATACTTGTTTGTGTATATACCTTTGTTGAGTTGATTTGAGTTGTTAACATAGACCTAAATGAAGGAAATATTGTAAACCATCTACGTCAATATGTTAAATGGCACCATTTTTTTGTTAGCAAATGCAGGTTAGGTACTTACCATATGTCTTAATTTATAGCCTGTACTAGTTTAGTAAAAACGAGGTGAAAATAAGACATATCGTTGATAATAAAGGAGTACTACCATGAAAAGCGTGTCCTAAAGCTGGCATACTCTTAGATTAAATTATTTCAGGCTAAACATACATAAAGGCTAAAAGCTGCATATTCTGCAGGGTTCGGCAAGACATATATGTAGCAGGCTTAAAAGTTGTTAACCATTAGGCTTTTGGGGTGCGTCTGCATCAAGCTAAACATGTTAAGAAATAGACCATTGGACTGAAAAAAGAGAAAAATCATACATTTCTAGTAAAACAAAATTTGAATATACATTTATGGTATTGCTGGTAACGTTCAGGAGGCAACATGTTTCTGCCTGTTTAGAGCTGCTTGTGAGTAGGTCCCGGTGTGCACGCTGTGGTACTGACCAGGAGTGTGTTTATGCGTTCATCCTATGCCCACGATCGGGAAGCTGCCAGCAGGTTGGTCTAGGGGCCGCATCCAATTTTGGCCACTCCGCCGGCCCCAGGCCTTCTCAAGGGCCATCATACACTTTCCACCACTCCGGTCCCTTTCAGCACCGCAAGTTTGTGTGATGGAAAAGTCCCGTCCGGGTATGTGGGGTACGCAGCAGGGTGTTTCCATTTCGGGCCCTCAGCCCATAAAGGCAGATGCGAGCCTCGGATTTTATGGGCCGCCTTCTCCGCTTCGCTGGTCTTTGTTTCCCGGGCGTCGTGTGCGGCCTTTTCTTCCCGCCAGCCACTCCAGGCGATTTTTCTGGCGGTGAGCAATGCGGTCGTGTAGGGTGTAGCTGCTCACTGTGGGTCTGTGCCCCTTTGTTCTGCGTTCTCTGCCAGAAGTTTTCAAGGAGGTCGTCCAGGCGCTGCTCGAGTGTCTGCAGTCGGTTTAGTGTGTCTGCAGCTGGTGCAGTAGCCGCCATTTTGAGGCAGATTGCACCCCTCTATGTCTTTACTTTAAGACGATGTGCTTCTCAGGGATGAAGCTTGGCTGTGGTGATGGTGTCGGGATAACCCCCACCAGCATGGGGGGGGGGGGGAGCTGGGACCCGTATAACGTCAGCTTGTTCCGGTCTGAGAGTCAGTAGGGAGATTGGCCGCTTCTCCCCGGCTCTCACCTCGAGGTAGGCCTCAATGGTGGTGTGGGCTCAATCTGCTTGTCGGACGCCTGGAAACCCTTCTGCTGTAGCAGAGTAGCTTGCAGGTAGGTATCAGTGCAAATTTAGCCATTTGTTTGCTTTCAAAATACTGTTTTTAGGCAATAATTGTCAACTTTTGTACAGAGCCCACACTGCATGCAGCCTTTCAGTTTGGCAGCCAGGCCCCATCCCTCCTTATGCATCTTTTATACTCACATGTCTTATACAGTATTATTATAGATATTTTAATATATATATTTTATCTATATATGTTTTAAAAAAAGTATTTTCAGAATATCTACTTCACAATTCACTTAAAGCTTAAAGGACCACTCTAGGCACCCAGACCACTTCAGCTTAATGAAGTGGTCTGGGTGCCAGGTCCTTCTAGGGTTAACCCATTTTTTAATAAACATAGCAGTTTCAGAGAAACTGCTATGTTTATGAATGGGTTAAGCCTTCCCCTATTCCTCTAGTGGCTGTCATTGACGGCCCAAAAGGCGCTTGCGTGCTCACCGTGGTTTTACAGTGAGAGCGCATAGCGTCCATAAAAAAG